AGGATTCTACATTTATGTCATTTGACTTGACAATGCTGTGTTGCCGTTTCTTTTCTTTCTTTTTTTTTTTTTTCTGGAGTCTCTCTCACTTTCTCTTAATGGTTGCAAAATCTTTTATCAACTCATATACCTCTGCCAAAGATAAAACTCTATTATGTAGATACTAGTGTACCAATTTGCAGGTGATTATCAATTGTTGGCAAACTAGAGTATATGTGACGTTGGCCTCGATTTCTGTAACAGTATTAGCTGGGAGTATGCTTTGTATAGAGCATAATGGGAGCTATCCTGTTTTCGGGACTTGAGATTGTAGTATATACGTGGGTTTTTCATATTAAGAGAATGGACAGCACCGCAAACAAGGGAATCACATTAGCAATTTGATCTCAGCCCAAATCCGTCGAATTATCTTGTTAAGGCAAAATAAAATGATCCTTCTTGCTTATTACAATATCCATTCGCAGGTACGTTGTGAAGACATTGGACAATGCAGAGAGTGTTAAGTTGCAGTATCGCTCACTTGCCAAAGTTCCAGATGATCCATCCTCGAAGCCAATGACAAGCAAGATGGGACCAAACTGGTTGTAGACCTGCAGTTCATAAGATGGGCAAGTGATACTTTGTTCCCCGTGTGCCACGGTTTGATATTTAATCTAACTTGAAATATTTCTATGTACCATTATTATAGTGTTTTGTGAAAACCAAGATCTGTGGTACGAGCCTTGTAAATTATCGAAAAGCCTTGTCTCACATTGTAGCTTGAGGAAACCTTAATGTTACATTACATACAAGAGTTCAACGCATGTAATCATTTTTGTTCCATATATCTGAGCAGATATCTTTGTATTTAACAAATAGCCAGTGTACAAATATGAATGCAATGCCATTGTTCTTCTGTCTAACTGTCTGCTAAATGTTGATTCTCTCTCTCTCTTTCTTTCACACCCTTGTGGGCATGTATGTTTCAGAATAAGTATGTAATGTGAGTTGTCTTTTGGGTGTATAAGCTTGAACAAAGTTGTGATGGATGGTTGAATCTTCATCAAGACAGGGAATTGTCGAGTGTCACGCCAAGCATTTAAAAGAAGCAAATAAAATGTATTAATTCTACATCGAGTAAGGACGAGAATATTTAAAAATATATAAATGTGAGCGTTATACAATCCAATATATTAATCTTTTAAAAGGAGAGTAATGATTTTTACGTTCGTTTCATGCCAAGTACATTTAGAGGGAGATAAGTAGGGTAGTCGACAATGACTCTAGCGTATCAGGTTGGGTGAGAGAAAATGTCATGTTAAGGATTTTAGAGGAAGACAGTGACGAGAAAACATCATTGGATTAGCTGAGAGAGAATATCATGTCAAGTGTTTTAAAAGAAATAGGTAAGATGTTTTAGTTTCACATTGAGTAAGTAGAGAAATTTTGAAAAGCTTATAATTGTGAATGCTGTATATTCTAATAAATTAATTTTTTGAAAAAGAATTATGGTTCTATGATACATATTAGTACGTAGATCGTAACATATACAAATTATTAATTTGGGTTCCTAAAGGCTGTAAGTTCAGTAGTGATGAACCAATTTGCAACAACTTTTAGCTGCTTTAAGATCTATTTACACATTGCAAGCCACAACAATCCTGGTAAGCCAGCTGCTTGGAATGCTTTCACCCAGATCAATTTTCTTTCTGGAAAACGCCTTCATATTCATTCCTGCTGACACTTGAAAAATTGGCTCTCCAGTTAGATTAGGTAGGTTGAGTTTTACTTCAGGTTGTTGGGCTATGTGTTGGCTACAAGTGTGTTTGGTTAAAGGGTAAAGGTTTGGGTTGAAGGGGAAGGAGAAAGAGTGACTAATGGATTTGGATTTCTACATTGGACCATTTGAGGATGGAATTTTGATTTTAGGGGAGAAATTAATGAGATTTAAGGATGAGTTTAATTTGATTTGGGGAATGAAACTGGTTTTTTTTTTTGGGTAGTTGATATTGGGTTATTTTGACTTTAAATAAACATAATAATTTTATCATTATTTAAATTAAAAATACATATATATATATATATATATATAATTAGAACAATAAATTCGATTGCAAAGAACAAGTTAAATTTTTAAAATTATAAAAAAAATACCAATAGATTATGTGGTCATCGATTATGATAGATTTTCATATAAGAATATGATGTAATACATGTGAAAATTCATTTGACTTGCATTTGGATCGAGAAACTCTCTTTTAGATTGTAAATTTGGCACTTCTTATTAGTAGTGTATAAAAGAGAAAAAAAATTATGTAATTGTCATATAAAATTAATTATCTATTCTGTATGACTTTGTAATTGTTTTCTTCTGAAGAAATAGGGACTTAAATAAATGACCTACTATAGAGATAAATTTTCAACAAAAAGAGTTTTTTTAATATAAAATAATGTATCAAAGTTTTACCATTACTTGTCATATAAGACTAAAAGCCTGGTCCATATGATTTTTTGTAATTATTTCCTTTCGAAGAAATAGGAATTTGTATAAAAGACTTATTATTGAGACAAGTTTTGAGAAAATAAAAATTCTTTTACTATAACCATGAGTTATCAAAATCATATTAATTGTCATATAAGACAAATCACTTGCTTTATGCCATTTTTTATAACTATTTCCTTGTGAAGAACTAAGGACTTGAATAAATAACCTATTATTGAGACAAATTTTCAAAAAAAAAATTCTTTCAAAATATGATGCAGGCACATTTAGAATTTTTATTTTATTTAGTATTTTGGTTGGTTTAGGATTTTATTTTCTTTATTTTATCTAGTTTGGGGTTCTTTTTTTATCTTTATTAAGATTTAAGTACAATAAGTTTATTTATTAAGAAGGGAATTTTTATTAGGAGTATAATTCTAATCCTTCTATTTGATTAGGGTTTATCTTAATTAGTATAAATAGGTGATTCTAACTAGAGGATTATCATCATCTTTGTTTATTTTGAATTTTTGTTCAAAAGGTTTATTTAAAACCCAATTATCTTTTTATTAATCCAATCACAATCAAACCCATTTAAGCCTAATTGTTGAGTTCTGATTGCCTTAAACCTTTCGGCTACATCAAGTGGTATCAAAAGTAACGATCTTACTATTTTTTTAGTTAAGGAACTATGGTTGGCCAAAGCATAGGATGAATTAGAGGCAACTAGCCTCAACAAATTGAGTTGGTTGAGATGTGAAGAATGGTTGATGACTTGGCCTCGACTGTGCAAGCTTGAGGCATGTTGACATGTCATAAAAGATGGAAACATAGTATGTTGACATGATGACATGATCATGTAGCATTTTCCATCATCCATGTCAATGCCACATCAATGCTTTAGTCACCATATGGGCATAAGTTTATAAGTGATGTTTTGACTTGTGACAGTTAGTTAACTATTAATCATAAAGGCTTATTTAACTCAGAATAAAAATATATGAGCTTATTTGAACATAATAGAAAAATTCCTTTTAATTTAACAATAATTATCAAATTTCTATCATTAGGTGTCATCTAAAGCTAATTACTTGGAATGTATGGTTTTTTATAACAATTTCCTTTCGAAAAAATAATAAATTAAATAAATGACCTATAATTATGACAAATTTTGAGATAATGGAATTTCTTTTGATAAAATAATGAGTTATCAAAGTTCTATTAATTGTTACATAAGACTAATTACTTGGTCCGTATGATTTTATGTAACTTGACAAGAGCCTAATATTACATATAGAATCATAACAACCTTCTTCTTTAATATCATACAATAATACCATCAACATCAAAAACAAAAGAAAATCATACACTTCATAGTTGTATTAAACCAACAACGTAAACCTTCACCTCCTGCCATCTCCCACTAGCTACTGCTTCTCCTACCATATAGCAGAAAACATATCCTTCTCAAGGGTGAACTTACCTTGAAGGAAGTGACGTCGCATGACACCACTCATTTACCAAAAAATTTTAGTTGTTATATTACTTATTTAAAGTTTTATATAGTTAATATAGTAATGAACCCATTAAATTTTTTTACAATTTTGTAGGCAGTGGGGTTAAATATTCTAAGTAAAAATAAATTTATCAAAAAACAATTTATATATTAATATTTAAATGCTACAAGGAAAAACAAAAAAAATTTCTTCTATAATTTAAGATTTTATTAAAATGGCCAAAATCTAGAGGCTAAATACCCAATTAATCCCTCGAACTGTTTCAAGAAAGTCAATATAGCCTTTATCTTTTCATTACGTTCTAATAAGCCATTGAATTTTTATTTTGAATCAAATAAACCATTTTCATTAATAATTGATTAACTTCCGTTAGTCAATGGTATAGTCAGCAGTTTTTGATGCCACATTATTTGCCACATGACGTATTGGCGTGTCATCTTGATGACATCAATGCCATGTGATAGATGATGTGGTATATAAAATTGTTGACTTGGAATTGAGTTTTTTTCTTTTTACCCATCCAAATGTCCAAAAATTATTGATTAAGGATTTAGAACAAAAAAATAAAAAAAAGCCTAATTGTTTCAAATTGATTTTTATCGTTTCTTAACTAATTACATCTTATTAATTAAAGTCATCATTTCTAACAAAAGGAGAAAAAAACCTAATCCAACTTTTTCTATTCGATTGAAGTAAAAAAAACTTGATCCAACTTTTCCAATTTGATTAAAGCCATTGTTGCTCAATTGAAAGTTGGTGTAAAAAAATATGAGAATACCCAAAAACAATTTTGAGAAGAGGAAGAGTAAAGGTAAGACACACAATATTTATAATACTGAAACTGATAAAGACACACAATGTTGTTCCACAATACAATAAAGTCAAATCCTTCTTTTCTCTTCAATAGAATCGGTAAGGGAGATATGATTTAACCATAATAGATTCTCTCTCAACATCTTTCATAGTTTTTGAGAATTTAAGACTACTTAAAGAAATTTTTTTAGAAAAAGGACATTTTGACTATAAGATATGTTGGGTTTAGGAAAAGTTGAAAAAAGTGAAGGTTTTTTTTATTAGGAATAATGGCTTTAATTAAGAAGATAGTAATAATTTAAGAAACAATGGTAATCAGTTTGAAGCAGTTAGTTTTTTTTAATTTTTTTTTTTGTTTCAAATCCTTAATCAATAATTTTTGGATATTTGGATGGACAAAAAGAAAAAACACCAATTCCTTGTTAGCAGTTTTTGATGCCACGCCATGTACCACATGGCATTGATGTCATCAAGATGATATGTCAACATGCCACATGAAAAATGATGTGGCATAAAAAATTGCTGATTGTGTTGTTGACTCAAGGAAGTTTGTTAACGATTAGTGTGAGGGGATTTTTTAACTCAAAATAAAAGTTTAGGTGTTTATTTGAATGCAATTAAAGGATAAGGGTTAAATTGATTTTCTTGGTATAATTCGGGAGCTTTTTTGCATATTTAGCTAAACCTAAATTACTCTACTTGTCCAAAAATTTAAATCCTACT